CACCTATCCGCTCTTCCCACCTCACTGACCAATCCCCACCACTGCCTACCTACATTCGCCTATCACCATCCCAACTACCTTCCCCAACCCAACCCCTCCTCTCTATTTATTTCATCTCCCTTCCCCCTCCCCAATTTGTGAAGAAAGGTCCCAACCCGAAACATCAGCTTTCCTGCTCCTCTGATGCTGCCTGGCCTGCTGTGTTCCTCCAGCTCCACTCTGTGTTATCTATAAAATTAATTGAGGTTTTTATTTATATGGGAATAATGCTGAGATTTATCATCACAGTTTGGAAAAGTCATAGGATTTTTAAATATATATATATATATTTCGTTAAATGCTAAGTATCAATTTACTTTGATAGCAAAAGAACAGAATGACAACAACAGACAAACAGCCTACATTTATCATATCCATTACTGTGGTGTACTTGCTTAAACATCTTCCATGTGTATATTTTTTCTGTTTTGAAGGAAAGTCATATATCTGAAATGTTAAATCTTGTTTCTTTTTGCGTAGATGTGCTGAGCATTTCTGATTATTTCTGTTGTTTGCGGATTTCCAATGTCTGCAATATCGTACTTTGTGTTTTACTCTTCATATATTCAAGTTCATGACCAGAACAATTCTGTCCAATTATTAGCCCTTGGACGGTAGGAGGACAAAGAAGGGCCTAAGAAGTGTCAGAGTAACATTCTTTGCAGTGGGTTAAGTTAATCTGTTCGTTCCCGTTTCAGGGATAGTATCTACAGTTTGCAAATGTACTGCATAAGCTAAGGCTCAGTTGGCTGCACTCTTGCTTCTTAGTCTGAAGGTTCAGAGTTCATCTTCCATTCTGTGATATGGGCATATGGGTCTAGATTGACACTCCAGATGCCATCTTTTGGGTAAGATTGGTCCCATCTACCCTGTCTCAGGTCAACATGAAAGGTCCCATGGCTCTGGTTTGAGGGAGAGCATGGGAGGTAAGCCCATGACCTGGCCAAAATTTAATCATGTACAAAACAGATTTTCTGGTCATTGCCATAGTGCTGAGTGTGGGAATTTGCTGTTCACTAATTGGTTACTGCTTTCCCAGGTTACAACATCAACTACAGTTCAAAGTTACTTTATTGGTCGTAAAGTGCTTTGGGATGTCTAGTAAAGACATTCCATAAATGCAGTTCTGCCTTCCTTTACAAACTGAAGAATGTGGAGCTTACTTGTGACATAATTAAAGCCTAAAACCAGTGAATTAGCTATACAGATAAGAAACTTTCAAGTTTCATTTCACACAGTCCAGGCAGCTTTTCAATTAAGAGATTGTAATCAGCCTAGTCCCTTCCTGACCTTGAATATGAAGTTAGTATCATTTAAGACTTACTGTTTTGGTTGCCTTCCAGTGATTTGTTGAGGGATATAAACACATGGGGATCAAAAACATAACTGCTGGAAGCACTCAGTACGTCAGCCAGCCTTTCAGGGGATTCTGGCAAAGAATTGTGCCTTCTATCATCTCTCTTGCGCTCTCTCTCTCTCACGCTCGGTGACCTCTCTATCTCATACACCGAAATACATACCTACATCTTGAACAGAGTAAGGGAGATGGCATATAGGTCGTTTTGGGACCCTATTCACAAGCATGACCTGTGAAGTGCATGTTCTACGAATTCATTTATAGGTGGGGAATATTTCTTCTGTGCAGTGGCACACGGGATTTTCTCTTGGCATTATGCACGTTTTCTACTATGTGTTCTTATACTATAAATGAAACTGTTTTAGCCCAAAATCAATCATCTATTTGATCTGTATTGTACTTAGTGTTAATGTGCACCAGTTGTGTTGGAAAACACATTGCTGGCTCAAGTTGCTTCGCTAAACATGTCTTTTTCTGTGTTTTTATATATGGATTTTCCAAACCATGTTAATTGGAGGTTGGGGGAAGGGTGTTCATTCTCTTTGATAGTTGTCAGCAGTGACTCCAGTTTCAAGTTCTCTCAGGGTCAAGAGTTTCTCCCATGTGTTTTCATGTGACTGAACAGTCTAATTCTCGGGTCAACCGTTCTATGGGCACATGAAGCAGAAGTCCCATGTCATTGTGAGATCCAGAGTCAGGATTTGCTTCCTTTCCTTTGCTCCTCTGCTGGCATTCTGCCTTACCATTAAGACAAAATGACTTAACGTGCGATGCAGCCTGATCATTGAGTTATGACCATTTTGACTGGTGGGAAGCTTTTCTCAACCATTAACGTTAATGCTGTCATACTACAAGGAGAACTTAAGAGAATCTTTGAAACATTTTCTTATTCCCCACTGGAATTTTGACCATTCAAAATTTGTAAAAATAGATGTGGCAGGGGAGGTGCTTTTTATCATTGGATATTGTGTCCATTAATGTCGCAGGGCGGTTGGTATAATGCTGTGGAGTTGGTTACAAGAAGGACTGTAGCATTTGTTCAACTGTTATGCTTTTGAAGTGCAGTGCTATAGAGGAGATGGTGGTGTAGTAGTCGAGTAACTGAACTAAGACCCAGAATCCCAAAGTAATGTTCTGGAGACATGGGTTGAATCCCATCATGGCAGAAAATCTGGAATTAAAAGTTGGTCTAATGATAACTAAGTAACTATTGCCAATTGTTAGTAAAAACCCATCAGGTTAACTCCTTCCCTTTAGGAAAGGAAATTTGTCTGTCTGTACCTGGTCTGGCCTATATCTCCTCAGATCCCCTTTATCTGTGCTTTCAGTATGTTCAACAATGGATTTACAAAGCTCTTGGGTAGAGTATTCAAAATTCACAACTCTTGAAGTGAAGAAATTTCTCCTCCTCCTCTGTCCTAATTGAACGACTCAATATCATGAGCCTGCTTGCCCACACGATCTTACTCCAGTGCGTCTTTTTGTTTGTCTGGTTTGGTGGGGCTGCATTCGATTCTAATTCCATTCTCATCTAGCTAATCACAGCTAGAGAATTACGGACAGGTGAGTACTTATTTCACTCAGTTACCTATGATGATCCTAAGGATTCTGTCCTTGGCCCCCTTCACTTTCTCACATACATGCTGCCGGTCAGTGATATCTAAAACCAGAATTAAATTTTTTATTCACTGTCAAACTTCTCTTCCACACCATCACTTACCTCAACTTTTCACAGTCTCTAAATTATCAATCAGCTTGTCTGCTATTTTTTGATAATTTTGAATTGATTATAAACAAGCTGTTGTGTTGGGCTTTGTAAGAGACTCCTCTCCCTAGTCATTAACAGCATCCCGCTTCCTGACCAATGTTGACAATTGAATCAGGCTTTTCACAAAATTGGTGTTATGCTTTCAATCATACATCCAGGCATTTGTTAAGGCTGACTGTTTCCACCTCCCATAACATTGTGTAACTTCAACTTTACTTCAGCTCATCTGCCAAAACCCTCACTCAAGCCATTGTTATTGCTGGATTTGATAATTTGAAAACGTGCCTTATCAGTTTCTCACATTCTACCCTTCCTAAGCTTGACAGCATCCAAAACTCTGCTGCATGTATTCGCCTTGCACTTAATTCTCATTTGCCCACCTTGCTTATGCTTGCTAACCTGTAATTTCAAATTCTGTTCTTTGTTTTCAAAAGTGGTCTCATCCCTCTCCTATTTCTGCAATGCCCTCTCGGCCCACAGCCTTCAGCTCACGGATATATACACATCTTTACTTCTGGACTCTTGAACACACCAAATTTAATTGTTCCATCAAGGTGGTTTGGCAACTCCTAAGTGTCCAAGCTATGGAATTACATCCCTAAGCCTCTGTTACTGTCTGTTTTCTCGATGCAAATTTGTATTTTATAATTACTGCAACTAGATTTTCAAAAGTGAAAACTATCAAAGGGCAGGGCTGTTTGGTGATTGCTGCTGGTCACACAAAATGTCAGGAGTCTAGGGGAGCAGCAGTTGAACGTGGGAGGTCATGTGATGACATCTTCCGTAAAATGTTTAGCCAGACTTAGCAACCCTATTCTGTACGTTTTTTTTCTAAAACAATCATTATCAACAATGGAAGTGTCAGTGCCAAAAAGTGGAGATATGCTGCCAGCAATATAATACCATGTGAATGGTGCTTATAAGAAGAACAACAAAATTTTATGCAGACAAATGTTGCCTATATTTGACAATAGGGCAAGAGGTGAAAATCAGGAAAGTTTTAGGAAGGTGAGAGGACACGAGGGCATTTAAAGAAAACCTTGGAAAGTCTTGGCAAAACCAGGACATCTGGTCACCCAAACATTGCTGTGTTGTATTTTTAGACTATTTTTCTGATTACAAAGGTACTGTACAAATGCATTTGTGTAAGCAGTCCACAAGTTGATGAATAACATGTTTGATTGAACAATACAGAAGGATTCAACTCTCTACATTAATGACCTGAATGGCATTCGTGAATCTTCTCAAGTGTTTAAGTTGGAACCAAGTTATTGTGGAATATTTCTGGATATCTGGCTTAGGTTACCGTTGAGAATCCAGTGAACAATCATCAATTATAACAATCCACATTGGTTATCATTTTGTTGTTATTGCATAATTGTAATATTTAGAACTACCCAAACCATTTGCTTAAAATTAAACATTGCCCATGATTCTGTTGAATGCTGTATTTAATAAGAAATGTAAGAAGATGAATATTAATTCAGAGCATAAAAGATCATTTTCATTTTATCCAATATTAAGTTAGTTCAAAATAAGTGATTCGATCCTGTAGGAATAAAGAGCTAATATTGATGGTTAGATAGTGGTGGTTAAAATGAAAATTGTAATAGAATATGGATTCATTTTTTTGAAAAGATTGCAAATCCTCACCACCTGTACAATTTGGAATGGATCCTGCATATCGTGGTTTCCCAATGCTGCTTGCGACCTGCTTGGTTGAAAAGCATGCTTTCACCTTTGAGTTAACCTGTGAGAGCATAAAAGCAATTTGATGTGAACCTTATATAACTGTAGCAGAAAAATTCCTAATCCAATTGCTTTTGCTTTTTAAAGGAATCTGAAATGGCAGAAGCACCTGCTAGAGATTCTGCAGCTGAAATTCCTGTCACCAGTAATGGAGACGCGAGTGATTCCCAAGGAGAACATAAGTGGGTATGGATAAAACATTTGTTTTGTACTTATTGTTTCAGCATGGCTGCATTAGTTTTATTCTAACCCGGTCAGTACTAGTGTTAGGCCCCGTTCTGACAACAACTGTTTCATGTGCTGTTTGATTGATCAGTCTGTCAGACTGTTTTTGACTCCTGCATTATAGCAGGTAACCAACCTTGGCTCAGAAACTGGTGGAAATGAGAGTATATTGTCTGCATCTCTTAATTGAAAGACAATTAATCTTGTGGCTAGTCCTAATTTTGTCCCAAAATTTCCACCAGTAATCCTAACATAAAGCTTTGAAAATGTGTTCAGGTCTGAAGAATAGTCATATTGGACTTGAAAAGTTAACTCTATTTGTTTGTCTCTCCACAGATGCTGCCAGTTTTGCTGAGTTTCTCCAGCACATTGTTTTTATTTCAACACAACAATGTATGCTTGACAGAACGTAACTGTGCAGCCATTTCAAGATGGATGGAGGAAAGCTGATTATATTTCAGACCTTAAATCATGTGAAATCTTTGTTCATTCCAATCAAGTATATTGCAAGACATTATGGAAAAATATGTTGTATTGGAAGCATTTAATATTTGAGCACTGTTTAGACAAAGCCTGTGAAGAGATCAGGAGGTCAGTGGCCCCAACAGAACCCAAACAGAACATCAGTGAGCAAGTTACTGCTAAGTGCTGTCTGTTGGCACAGTTAACCACACCTTCCATCACAATATTGATGATTGAAAGTGGACAGATGGGGCCATAATTTGCTGGGTTGGATTTATCCTGCTTTTTTGTAGCAGGGCATACCTGGGCAATTTTCCCAGATTGCTGCGTAGATACCACTGTTGTACCTATTGTAACAGTTTGGCTAAGGACACAGCTAATTTGGAACATAAGTTTCTACTATTCCTGGAATACTGTCAGGACACATTGTTTTTTTGGTGTTCAATATCTTCAGTTGTTTCTTGATGCCACGTTCTGATACCGTGTTGTAGACTGACAGCTGTGATGTTGGGTGTCTCAGAAAGAGGATGAGTATATCATCCATTTGGCACTTCTTAATGGGGCGGCACGGTGGCTCAGTGGTTAGCACTGCTGCCTCACAGCACTAGCAACCCGGGTTCGAATCCACCCTCGGGAGACTGTCTGTGTGGAGTTTGCACATTCTCCCTGTGTCTGCGTGCGTTTCCTCCCACAGTCCAAAGATGAGCAAGCTAGGTGGATTGGCCATTCTAAATTGCCCATACTGTTCAGGGATGTGTACATTAGGTGGTTTATAGGGGGATGGGTCTAGGGGGGATGCTCTGCGGGTTGGTGTGGACTTGTTGGGCCAAAGGGCCTGCTTCCACACTGTAGGGATTCTATGACTCTATAAAGATGTTTACAAATGCTTTGGCCTTATCTTTTGCAATGGTGTGTAGGGCTCCCGAACAGAATAGAGATATTTGTAATCAATTGTCTACCAGCATTCATGATTGGATGTGGCAGGACTGTAAAGTTTTGATCTGAACTGTTAGTCGTGGAATCGCCTAGCTCGATCTATCGCATGCTGCTTCTGCTGTTTGATGTGCAAGTAGTCCTGTGTTGAAGCTTTACCAGGTTGGGGTAAAGTCTGACACTTCACCTTTAGATATGTTGATGCTGTTCCTGACATATTCTCTGTGCAGTCTTCATCGAGCTAAGGTGGTATGGCCAAGTGGTCAAAGGCACTTCTCCGAGCACAGGAAATTGTTACAACTCTTAAAATGAAAGGTAATTTTGTTGAAACATCAAGATGCTGAAAGAGTTTTAGTAATGTAGATGTTGTGCAACTGTTAACCGGAGAGGACTGACCATTTCAGATTGAGATTAGAAGAAGTTTCTTTACTCATCAGGTTGGGAAATCTTTAAAGCTCTTTTGACAAGCTAGACAGATCTCGATATCTTGGAATCGAGAAATGTGGGAAATGGCAGGAACGTGGAGTTAAAGCCCTTCATTACTGGAATGGCAGAGCAGACTCAATATATTCTAATCCTGCTCCAATGTGTGTTTTTGAAAAAGGACAGGGAGTGGGGTGAGCCAGATTGTTTTTTCAGAGAGCCTTTTTGGGCTTGACAGACTAAATAGTCTTCTCTGTTTGCTATAAACATTCTGTGTGTTTCAGTCGAAAAGAGTTTGCAGATCATGATGCAGAGATAAATGTTAATTCCCACCACTCTGCAATTCAGGCCAATGGAAAGTAGAGGCATGCTCAGTTGTGCCTGCTTTGCAACATGTGATGGATGAGCTTAGAATTGAAGAGGGTAGAGATAAAGGGAAAACTGGAAGCTGAGGATTTGAGTGAGGCTCAGGCCACTCAGTCATTGGCTAGTAGATATGGAGAATTAAACTGTTAACTTTTGACCGTGAGATTGAGACAGCAACAGGAAAACCTTCAGCTGCTATTACTGTACTGTAAAACTAAAAATTATGAAACAGATTTCTGCTCTTTCATGTTACATGTGCTTTCTATTTCCGGATAAATAAAAGATGTTATCACTTGATTCCTCTTCATAGAGTCATAGTTGCCATGCTATTACCACACTCTACCTGCAGCTGAAACCTTTATGTCTTGTAATCTTCAGACATTTTCACTATAAGATGTGAAAGATCAATATTCTTTCATCCTCTACAGACCATAAACATCATCATTCTCTGGAATTCTTCCCCTGAAACTCCACCCCTCCAAATTCATCTCTGATCTTTTTGCCACCCATCTAGTCTGTGCATCTTTAACTTAGCATCCATTTTTGTCTGATGACCTCTCTTCGAACTAGCTTTGCTAATTTTGAAAGTTGAAGGTGCTTTATAAGTTTAGGTTGGTACTGATTCCCAAAGGTGAAGAAAGGAGAAATTAATTACTTGATTCCCAGATAGCGAATTTGATTAATGCTTAACAATTCCTGTTTTTTTAATGTGAAATTAATATTGCTGGACATAGAATTTCACAGTTTAACCCAACATTAAAGAAGGTGTGTAGGTTTGTATTGATATTTTTCAAAGTAAAAAGTTCATGACCGCATCTGATAGAACAATGAGGCTTTTTCATCTGATGGGAACAAGGAATTTAGAAGTGTGTGTGGTTTGTGGATCACTTCATACGTTTGACATCTAGTAAAGTTGTTCCTACATACATGGTCTATAACAGAGACCCATACAACTACTAGAGGTGCATAAAGGAGATTTCAGGCTTCATGTTGATGAATGATTCAATAAGCATATTTATAAACTAATTCTAGTTTCCTAATCTTGACTTCCTTGTACTGCCTGTAATGAGCTGCAATCTACTGTGAATGTTAGAGAACAGTAAACCTAAGACAAGTAAAAGAGTGTATTTTAGTAACTGTTTTCCTCATACCTGACCTTGTTGCATGTTTTAATAATGGGAAAAGTTGATACATTAAATTGTTACTCCTAAGAACTTGAAAATAGCAGATACCCTCAGTGCGCACAATTGAAAACCTGGAACAGAATTGGATTATATCTTCAATAATGTCAGGTAACACCACAACCACAACCAGAACCATGAAACTCTGCATCTAGCGATTGGTTTATCAAAGGTACTATCAGCTTGCAGGGCAATCTTGATCCAGTAAGGAACGTAATATTGTGAAGGAAGAGTAGAGGACTTAAAATGGAATTCTTGTGGAAAAAGTGCCAAATCAATGTAAAATTGATAGTTAGTTACACAGAGGTAATTGAAAGAATGATGAATTTACGACATGCTACGCAATGCTTTTCCCTTCTTCACAGTGTTAATAACATGCTGTCTAAAATTCAGATATCTTCAACTTTGATTAATCCTTTGAGAATTAATAATGCGACATATAATTTTATGTAATTTAGTTTTATTACAATTTCAAGCAAGGCACCTTTGTGGCTTTTGATACTTGTGAAATCATGGTCTTAAATAATTGATAGAAACTTGACTAGTGCAAACTTGTATTAGCTGGTGTTAATTCAGCGATTTGTAGACTTTGCCTTTAATATCCTACGTACATAATAACTTATTGATTACACAAAGGAATAATAGATGACGGGGAAGGCAGGCATATAGAAAGGAAATTACTTAAGGGGTTTCCATAATGTTTTAAATTACTTGGGACGTAGGCTATAATCTGAGCCTATAATTCACTTCCAAGTGTGAATTTTTTTCTTAGATAAAATATGTCAGACTGAAATTATAATTCCAGTGTTTACTTTTATTAGGATCTGTGCTAGGACAGGACCCCTATTTGATAGAAAAACTAAGACTGGAAATAAGGCTTTAAATAATGATTTGAGAGGAAGAGCTGCATGAAATTATGAAAAAGAGAATAAAGGGCAAACTCGAAGAAGGAATAAGGATAGTGCAAATGGCCAAAAATCAAACAAATTCATACAACATAGAGGTAAGAATTCAAAGGAGAGAGAGAGAGGATAACGCAGAATAGAAAAACAGTATCAATTGTTGGTACAGCATTGTACATATTATTCAAATCAAAATCTGGAAGGAATTATCTGTAGAGGAGATCCAGGTAAAGTAGGGATGACAACCATAAGCACACAGATCTGGTTCAGTAACTAAATGTTGCAGGATAGAGAAAGGAAGAAAAGTGATGAGGTAGAATGTCTGTATTTATTTTTAAAAAAGTATATATGACGAAAAATAATGTAGTTCATAGAATCCCTACAGTGTGGAAACAGGCCCTTTGGCTCAACAAGCCCACACTGACCCACAGAGCATCCCACCAAGACCCATCCCCTTATAACCCACCCAATTTACATGTCCCTGAACACAATGGGCAAATTAGCATGGCCAATCCACCTAGCCTGCACATCTTTGGACTGTGGGAGGAAACTGGAGCACCCGAAGGAAACCCACGCAGATACAGGGAGAATGTGCAAACTCCACACAGACAGTCACCCGAGGGTGGAGTTGAACCTGGGTCCCTGGCACTGTGAGGCAGCAGTGCTAACCACTGAGTCACTGTACAGAATCCAT